CTATACCTCCAGTGTCCTCTGAGATAAATTTGAATTTGCAAAAACGTGCGCATCTTGCACCCTTTCTGGCAAACCTACATGTATTTTTATGCCTGTAAATTATGAAAATATAGCTGTGGTCACGCAAACATGTGCCCTGCAAGATCAATAAGTGGTCCCCGTACAATTCAAGTAGTTCATGGGAATGCTCCAGAGCTGTGATAGGAATAGGCATTACATCAATCGCCCGGGCCCCATTGCAGATTGACTTTCTTCTACCTTTCTTTGTTTTAAAAAACCAAGGCAAGCTACAGACATATAAATTGATGCTACAGGAATTTCAACAACCCTGTTGAAAATAAGCATTTTTAAGCATTCTCGATCCTTGGCACCTGATCCCACCATGAATTTCTAGGGGATTCGTGTTTATTTCCTATTCATATATTTGTTTTGTTTGATTTTTTTTAAATCGACTGCTCATTTCATTCTCCAGGAAAATACATATAATATTCAAGCAGAAACTTCATAATGACCTCGCAAACTTGATGTACGACTGGAAATCCTTTTGGTGTTTGGGAATCTACATTTCCAAACACCAAAAGGATTTCCAGTCGTACTTTACATGTATTTTGCTGAAGACGCCATTCAGTAGATGGCAACAGCCATCTTTTTCTTAACACCTAACGGCTCTTCTTAAGTCTTTAGGACCGATGCCAAAGCATTTTCCAGTTTTAAACAATGATTTTAAAATTTTCTTTTATTCGTGTGTAATTTTTTCCTAAAAGTTATTAAGTTCGCTTTTTTCCGTAACAAAAAATAAATGGATCGGATTTCCCCTTTCTTTTCTTCTTGAGGAATTAACATTCGAAAGTTAGTCTTATACCCAAGTAGTAAGAAAATAACCTTTTTCTGAAAAATAATCCACAATTCTGAATCTGTGGATCTCCTCATTTTATATGAAAATATAAGGATTTACTTATAGTACATAAATCTCGTCTGAACGCATAGCAAATTAACTTTTACTCACGTGTGTATATTTACTCATATGTAAATTTGCACACATGAGCAAATTTTCGTCGTATGAATGGGGTATAATAAGATGTGACTGGCGTTCTCATTAGTCTTACCAGTGAAACCGAAGGAGACTATACGTTTGCTCTACATTTGTTTGTTTAGTTGTTAGTCTGTCCCACATTGTTTTCCACACTTTTTCCCACAAACACTTATAGATATGGAGCTGATTTTTTGTTTGATGAGTTACATATTAAATCAATTTCTTCCCGGTTCAAAGATTTTTTTAATGGAATTACGACCTTACTAATTTTTAAGTCTTCCTCCATTTTTTAAAGGTTTGAATATATTGAATTGAGTTAATCCAGAAGTATTTCTAATTTTTAGAATATCTAAGAAAGTGTACATATGGAATTTCGGAATGAACTTGGGAAGTAATGAAGATTGTTAATATACGAATAGATTGATATAGAAAGTAAAATTTTTGAGCATTTGATTAAAAATAGTTTATTAGAGAAATTGGACAGTGTAAGGAGTTCCACAAGTTTATTAAATTCAGATTTAATTACTTCAAAGTGTGTTATATCTGTCGGACCTGTTTCTCTCTTTTTAT